GATGGGTGGATGGATAGACAAAGTGAGAAAGAGAAAGAAGGATGGGTGGATGGATAGACAGTGAGAAAGAGGGATGGGTGGATGGATAGACAAAGTGAGAAAGAGAAAGAAGGATGGGTGGATGGATAGACAGTGAGAAAGAGGGATGGGTGGATGGATAGACAAAGTGAGAAAGAGAAAGAAGGATGGGTGGATGGATAGACAGTGAGAAAGAGGGATGGGTGGATGGATAGACAAAGTGAGAAAGAGAAAGAGGAATGGATGGATGGATAGACAAAGTGAGAAAGAAAGAGAGATGGATGGATAGATAGCAAAGTGAGAAAGAGAAAGAGGGATGGGTGGGTGGATGGATAGACAGTGAGAAAGAGGGATGGGTGGATGGATAGACAAAGTGAGAAAGAGAAAGAGGAATGGATGGATGGATAGACAAAGTGAGAAAGAAAGAGAGATGGATGGATAGATAGCAAAGTGAGAAAGAGAAAGAGGGATGGGTGGGTGGATGGATAGACAGTGAGAAAGAGGGACGGGTGGATGGATGAATAAAGAAAAAGAAAGAAAGAAAGAAGGATGGGTATGTGCGTGGATTTTACATTTTCATATGTGTGAAAATCGCTCTCGTGTCCCCTTTTGCCCAACCTCAATGCCGTCGCAACATTGAAACACGATCATTGAAACAAACAAGAGAGCCTCCTGCCTTGTCCCCTGCATCAAAAATGCCCTTTTAACCCTCCCTCCCTCCCTTTGATCTTTTAGCACTCCTGGGAAATGGTGGGGAAGAAGAAAGGCGTGTCGGGACAGAAAGACAACGGGCAGACGGAACCCAGCGAAGAAGGCAAAGAGAACCGGGAAAAAGAGCGGGACTTCAGCCGGCGACGGGGGAGCGGCTTGCCCCGAAGAGGCCGCGGAGCCAGCCGTGGGAGAGAATGTAGGCCCCTGATTCTGCTGCATACAAAGCAATAGACCCTCCGAAGGAGAGGTGCAAAAGGTTCCTTTCCGGCATTTGTGACTCCCAAATCAGGGCCCGTAGTCCGTTCCCCCACCCTTCCGTCACCCACCCACCCCACCCCTACCCAGGAGGTGGCTTCCACCCTGACAGGAAGTCGGTCCATTCCCTTTCCTCCTCCCCCCCGCCTCAATGCTCTCGCTCTCTCCCACCAGGGGAGACTGGTAAGAGCAAAATTGGCTGTTGGGAGACTCTCCTCGCGGCTGTTCAGAGAGAGAAAGGACAGCAGGATATAGAAAATCAAGAGGGGACGTTTTGTTATTCTGGAGACCGGTTGCTTATTTCTCCCCCCCCCCTTTTTTTTTTTTTTAAAGAAGTAAATCTCTCGTGGAATTATATCCAGGCATCCTGGCTGAGAAAGGCATAGAGGAGAGGGGTTTTGGGGAGGGGAAAATGCCTTCATATAATTACTGTATTTTTTTCAGAGGATAAGACGCACTTTTCCCCCACCAAAAAAGGGTGAAAATCTGGGTGCGTCTTATACACTGAACGCTGCATTTTTGGCCTACCCAAATCCCGTCCTCTTTGCAAAAATGGACGTGCGTAGCCTTTAGGAGGCTTCCGAAGAGCTCCTGGGGAGGGCAAAAACCAGCAAAAAACGGGCTGTTTTTGCCCCCTCCCCAGGAACACTCTACCAGCCTCCCAAAGCTCTGTGTGTGTGTGCCTTTGTGTGTGTGTGTGTGCACGCGCAAAAAATAAGGCATGCAGAAGGTTTGGGAGACCTGCAGAGTGCAAAAACTTTTTTTTTTTATTTACCTCTTCAAAATCATGGTGCGTCTTATACTCCGATGTGTCTTATAGTCCGAAAATACAGTAAATCTCTTGTGGAATTATATCCAGGCATCCTGGCTGAGAAAGTCATGGGGGTTTTTGGGGGGGGGAGAAGTGCCTTGATATAATTAGTCCTTGAACTGTGGATGAGTTAAATGTGCAGTCCGGCAGAACTACTTCTGCTGATCTCCGGCTGCCGGTGGTTTGGCAGATCGAATCTCGCCAGGTTCAATGTCGACTCAGCCTTGCGTCCTTCCGGGGTCGGTAAAATGACCCAGATTGTTGTGGGGGGGGGGGTAGACCGACTCTGTAATCTGTAAACAGGATATAAGTCTAAGGGCTGTGGCTAATTCCAGCCTTCCTCAACAGGTGGTCCTTGTCTTACGACCACAATTGAGCCCCCAAATGTATATTGCTTAAGCGAGGCAGTGGTGAAGTGAGTTTGGCCCCGTTTTTACGACTCGTCTTGGCTCACTCTTGTTCAGCGAAACGCTGCCGTGGTTAAGCGAGGAACACAGTTGTTAAAGTGAATCTGGCCTCCTCATGGATTTTGCTGGTTGGGAGGTCACAAAAGGGGACCGTGTGTTTCACACACACCCCAACCGTCATAAATACGAGTCAAAGTTGCCAAGCGTCTGGCATTTTATCACGTGACGGTCGGGGGGGATTGCAACGGTCATATAAAAATGTGGGGGGGGGGAAACGGTCCTCTGTTGTAAGTCCGGCACTGCCTATCGAGTTTATTCTCTTGGAAATCGTTTAATTTTGTGCTTCGGAGGTTCAGCTTAAAAGAACCGGGGTACAACGAATGGGTACAATTGCACGCCGGACTGTGGCGTTCTCTATACCACAACCGTACCACCGTGTGGCTAGTTTTTTTGCCCCTGGTCATTGCCACGCTTGAGGCACAACCGAGTCAGTTTTCAAGAGGCCCCGATTTTGATCCGCGCGGGTGCTCGGTCTTGCGTCGAGCCCCCCCATGGCTTTTCCTTCCATATTTCCTCCCCTCTCTCTGTCCCCGGTTCCTCGCTTGCAAATCTCCCAACGCCTTGTTGTCTTTTGCAGTTCGGGGCCAAGAGAACGGACTGGATGGCAGCAAGACAAGTGGATCTTCTGGCAGAGGCACGGAGAGAGGCCGGCGGGGACGTGGGCGAGGCAGAGGTGAGAGCCAGGAAGCCCAGGTGGCCCATCCGTAACCCTGCAACAGATCATCGTTTGTTGAGCAATTGAAGCCAAACGAATCTCGTAAACGGCTCCTTAAGAGTCGAAATTTTAAACAGGAGTTCCTCGTCTCTTTTCGTTGGCCTGGCTTGGCTACTAAGACCACGGCAAAGCCATTCAACCTGGTTTAAAAGCAGGCCCTGGGTAACCCACGAGTGTCGGAGGGCATTCTAACAGACGGTTCCTTTGTCTCTTCAGGCGGATCTGGACGACGGGGAGGAAGATTTTCTGCCCAAGGCATGGGGTAAGCTCCCCTTTGGGTTGGTGAGTTGGTTCCGTTGAAAAATATCCATGACTGGGAAGAGACATGGGAACAAGGTCCGCCAATGAACAGGCAGAGCAACTAAGTCAGCCGATGGGAGCTTCTGTGCAGAGAATTGAGACAGAAACTTGAGCAGCCTGCTGCTCTGAGAAGTAAACTAGCAGCCTTCCTGGGCTTGTCTGCATGAAAACGAAGCTAACGGTGTTTGCCTGCAACTCCTGCCTTGTGTTTCCTCGGAAGAACCACCTGTTGGCGCTGTAACATTTATTCATCTCTTATGTATATAAAGAAGTTAATGAATCCAGCTGAATCAGTTATCTGCGTGTGATTCCTGGATTTGAATTTATGCAACCAACTCTAAAAGGTTTCATGTCCGATTGCGGTCGCAATAAAAACACCAGCTGCATTCCAGGCAGCAGAAGGTTGCAATAAATATGGGAGTGTCCCATAACACACACCCTGCCTCCCCCCCCCCCCCATTCTGGGTGGATCAGACAGATGTCATTGGGACAAACACCGTCCTTCCAATAAGATCAGCCACAAACTCAAGACGCGTTACCGGTCCCCGGTGAGGAGACTTGACTTCAGATGGATTTGTGAAGGGCTGATTCACAAATCCATCTCAAGTCTCCTCACCAGGGGCTAGCAACCCATCTTGGCTCAATCATGTCTCAGAGAACAGCCTCCTGATGATGTTTCTTTGCTTCCTCTCCCTCTCCCCCCCCCCCTTAGGACTTTCAACCCCGCCGACTATGCAGAACCCACCAGCACGGACGAAGGTTACGGCAATAACAGCAACACATGGAACAGCACGGGAAGTTTTGAGCCAGATGATGGGACGAGTGAGTGACCGGGATCCGGTACTGCCTTGGTTTGGGGTGGGGTAGGGGGCTAGATCTCCTTCCAAACCAGACCGGGGTCGGGGGGAAATCGCCTTTGTCTGGAGGGGGGGGTCTTCCAGCTGCTATGAGCCTCAGTTATAAGTGGTTGTTTAAGTGGATCTGCTTTCCCCATCAGTTTCCAGTTTGTAAGAATTGTTGGGGGTCTGAAACCCCAGGGAGTGGGGAGGGGGATGTAATCCCAAACTCTTTGGATTTAGAAGCCTTTAAACACCCTCATGATAGCCCTGAAATATACATACATACATACATACATACATACATACATACATACATACATACATATGATAGAAGATCCAAATTAGTTTCTTTTAATCCTGCTTTTGGGATTTGCTGGATAATCTTAATTTTTCATGCTAATTTTGTAGAATTGTTCAAAACGCTTTTCATCTTCCCCTTCTGTTGTGAAATCTGCTGGAACAAGGACGGGGGAGGGGGATGCCCCCCCCCCATTCTTAACTGAAGGTAGTCCTTGACTTACGACCACAACCGAGCCTTGAAATTATGTCTCCAAGCGAGACATTGGTTTAGTGGTTGTCCGATTTTCCTTGCCACCGTTTGCTGTGGTTACATTAAGTCCGTCGGGCGGTCGTTTCCCATCGGAAGGTCGCATCCCCTGACTCCCTCCCCCCCCCGGAGCACCCCCACCGTCATAAATATGAGTCAGTTGCCAACCATCGGAGTGTTGATCCTGTGGCCGACGGGGATGTCGCAAGTGTTGAGAAAACACTTCCCCGGCGGGTTTGACCAGTTTGGTGCTAGGCAGAGGCCGATATTTCTATCTCTCTGGCCACACTGAGAATATTATCTGCTGAACAAAACTCCGCTCTGGCAACGGGAAAGGAATCCGGCCAGTGAAAACACCCTGCTAGCTCCATTCAGTTGCCCAGACTCCACCCACGCAAGGGATTATTGGGTCGTTAAATGAAGATGACGATGGTTTAGAGTGCTTTGCAGGAAGACTGTCTAACCCCCCCTGCCCCCCCATCACAGTAGAACAAAAAAAAAAAAAATTAAGGAAAGGGGTCATACATCCCTCTGTCTATTTCACCCTTTCTTGTCTAGAACTCCCACTTCCCTCTTCCATAAGATTTACATCCTGTCGTCCCCCCCCCCTTCTGATTAGTTAGCACCATTTGAGCTTGTATCCCCCTCCCCACTTTTAATTTGATCAATATCCACAGGTACGGGCTTGGGGGGGGGGTGTCGGCGGCGGTGGGGGGAGCGGGGGTGCCTCGTCTCACCTTTCGAAGTATTTTGACCGTTTTATACTGTTTTTTGTTCTTTTTCTTTCCTTGTTGTGTTTTGTTTCAGGAGTTGATTACGTTAGGGGCGAGGGGTCAAATTATCCCCGAAAATTTGACACTGCTCCTGGTACGAGAAATCCAGGGGCACTTAAATGCCCTTGGATCTCTTTTTTTTTATCTTTTATCTTTTTTTTTAAAAAAAAAAATCTTTTAAAATAAGCTGGAATTTATCTGTGGATATGTTTAACTGTCTTGTCTTTTTTCCTCTCTCCTCTTTCATCTCTTTCCCTCTGTTTTGTTCACTTTAATATTTTTAAAAGTTACGTGCCTGTTGCTTTTTACCACTAATGCTTTTACTCCTGGCATCCCCAAGGGTGTTTTTTTTGGGGGGGGGTGGGAGGAACTGACCCTTGTTGAAGTGAAAATTAGCTTTGATTTTCCCAGATTGGTGGTTTAAGGATGGTTATGGTTTGGGAAATAATGTGGTTTTAAAATCTAAACTAATATTAACTAATTTAAGAAGAAAAGTTGTTCTTCATCCCTCACCAAGCATTAAAATGCCATTTATTTCACGTTTGGGGTCGGGAAAACAATTGTAAAAATTGGTCTGTTTAGACAGGCTGCAGCCAGAACTCTTTCTGGATCTACTGGGGTGATCCAGATTTCCACCAGTTGATCCCAAAGTATTCCAACGGGTTGAATTCACCTTGGGCTAAGTCCCTCGGCTGTCTACGGCTAAGTCCCTCGGATTCTTTTTACCAACTAGTATTGTTTTCTGGTGTTCTCCTTGGTCTACACGACTTAAAATATGATGCATAAATAAATAAATAGCTAAATAGATGAATGAAGCATTGTGAATTTCCTAAAGCGAGCCTTCGCATTGCCTACAATTTATGACCAATCTAGAATTGGAAAACTTAGTGTGGGCCTGAGCTTTTAAGAATGCTTTCCTGCAAGGACATGGGTGCTAAATTTAAAAATAAAAAAAATAACTGGAGTTTTAGTAAAGGGTCAAGATAATAACGGACCTTCTTGGTATCAATTGCTCGATTAAAAACCCTTCCAAAGATTAATCTGCTTCTCTCTAAACATTCTTCACCGCCTCTCTTCTTATGCCCGACCCTGTTAATTGACCCACGGTGGGGCTTGGCAGTGCGGGGGAGGGGGGGGAAAGGAAGCTGGCAGAAACTACGGTAGATATTTATATATTTTATAACAGCCCAGAGCCTTGTGGTGTGTGATTTCCCTTCCTGCTGCCTTTTCCTGGACCTTGAAATGAACTTTTGAAAGTTTATCTACTGGAAAAAGGGGTTTAGTCTGTTGGCTGTTGAGTCGGGATGTGGGCGGTTTCCGTGCTCTTTTCAGTCCAAAGTACTTAAACACCGGCCGTCACTAACTGGAGGTGTTTGTGTGTTTTGGCCACCGTCCTGTTTAGGGGGAGACGGCCAAGCCAGTTTCATTTGGTGTACCAGTCTTAACACGTATTCCTCGCAGGAAGAGAAGGACGACTAATTTTTCCATATATATGCATGCCACAATCCCATTTTTTTTTAATCCTTAAGCTTAGAATCTGTGTCCAAAGACAGAGTCTGTGTCCCTGCCCTGCTGTCCCTAATCATCCTGTCATGGGGGAAATGAGAAAGAAAGATAATTCCAGAAGACTTGGGAAGCCATCGGAGTTGCAAGCTGGCTTAGAGTTGGGGGATAGTTAGATGCTAATGGTTAAGATCTAGGTGGTTGGATCTACCTTAGAATCGAGGATGGTTACATCTTGATGAACTAGATCTAACTTAGATTGGGGATGGTTAGTTTTTGATAACTAGACCTAGCTTAGATTTGGGGAGGGTTAGATCTTGATAAGATTTAGATGATTAGATCTAGCGTAGATTTGGGAATGGTTAGATCTTCATGACTAGATCCAATTTGGATTGGGGATGCTTAGATTTTGATTAGATCTAGCATCTAGACTTGGGAATGGTTAGATCTTGATGACTAGATCTAACTTAGGTTGGATCTAGATGGTTAGATCTAGCGTAGATTTGGGAATGGTTACATCTTGATCAGATCTAACTTAGATTGGGGGATGGTTAGATCTTGATGATTAGATCTAGTATGGACTTGGGATTGGTTAGATCTAAGTTAGATTGGGAAAGGTTAGATCTTGATTAGATCTAGCATAGATCTGGGAATGGTTAGATCTTGATGATTAGACCTAGCTTAGACTTGCAGATAATTAGATCTTGATGATTAGATCTTGATTAGATCTATCTTAGACTCGGGAATAGTTAGATCCTGGGGATTAGATCTTGATGATTAGACCTATCTTAGATTTGCAGATGATTAGATCTTGATTAGATCTAGCTTAGACTCGGGAATAGTTAGATCCTGGGGATTAGATCTTGATGATTAGACCTAGTTTAATCTTGGGGATTATTCAGTCTTTGCAGAGTTACATGTCAGGGCAAAACCCCCGAAGTTCATCTCTCCCGTGGGGGTCCCAGGGTCCAGCCTCTTTGCTTTGGTGGTGGGTGGGGTGAGGGGGGATTGTATGTTGAGCTGCTGTGCCCCCGCCTTTCTCTGCCTCCTCTCCCCCCCCCCAGCTTCTGTCTGTCTGAGCAAGGATTGCCACCTGCTTAGCTCTTTGCATTGCTCTTTGACAATTCCCTCCTTCTCCTCTGTTTTGTAAGCGGTGTTGAAACAGGCTCCCCCCCACCCCCACCCCTCACCTTTGATCTCTGGCTCTTCCTTGGCAGGTGCCTGGAGGACAGCAACGGAGGAGTGGGGGACTGAGGACTGGAATGAAGATGTAGGTAAACCCTCCCTCCCCAATTCCTTTTTCTGACTTTCTGCTGACCGAACCTGGGCAGGTTTCATTGCATTCTCTCTCTCTCTCTCTCTCTCTCTGCTCCAGCTTTCAGAAACGAAGATCTTCACTGCCTCCAACGTCTCCACAGTGCCGCTGCCTGTGGAAAATGTGACCATCACAGCTGGACAGAGGTGATTCCTTTTGTCTCTCTCTCTCTGTCTCCCCCCCTCTCTCTGTGTGTCTCTGTCTCTCTCTCTCTCTCTTTCTCTCTCATTCTCTGTGTGTCTCTGTCTGTCTCTCTCTTTCTCCCTCTCCGAGCTTGGCTGCTTTCTTGCCACACCTTTCATATCAACTATGATACGGTATCCTAGTTGATATCAACTCGGTAATATCGTCCGTGCTGAAAAAGGAGTGGGGTTTGTGGAGAGGAGGAGGATTGCAGGATCCTTCGGGCTCTCTTGAGCTTGAGTAGTTTTCTGACAGAAAGTTCATGACCAAACTAAGGTAACATCAGTGTTAGACCGAGTAAGGCTTGTGGAGAGGAGGAGGAGGAGGAAGAGAATGTGGGGTCCTTGGTGCTCTCTGAGCTGGGTGGTTTTCTTGCAGACGTTTTGTGACCCAACTGGGTAACATCATCAGTGCTGGAAGGGAGTGGGGTATTCAGAGTGGAGGGGGAAGACTGTGGGCTCCTGGGTGCTCTCTGTGGTTGGTGGTTTTCTTGCAGACGTTTCATGACCCAACTAGGTAACATCAGTGCTGTACAGTAGAAGCCATTTCACAGCGGTACAGTAGAAGCCATTTCACAACGGTACAGTAGAAACCATTTTAGAGTGGTACAGTAGAAGCCATTTTACAGCGATACAGTAGAAGGCATTTTACAGTTGTACAGTAGAAGGCATTTTACAGTGGTACAATAGAAACCAATTTACAGCAATACAGTAGAAGGCATTTTAAGGCACAACAGGATGTATCTTAACAGAACAGACACACACAAACACACAGAGCCATATTTATATATATATATTTGATCAATCGGTCAGTCGATTTATATAACACCCCCCCCCTCCGCCTCCACTTCAAGGAGTGACTCCTGGTGTTCTCCCCATCTAGAATCGACCTTGCAGTGCTCTTAGGGAAAACACCTTCCTCGCTGGAGAACGAATCTCCCAACTTGGATTCCTCCCAAGCGCCGGCTCTCAACCAGCCCCTGGTCTTCAGCAATTCGAAGCAAAGTACCGTCTCTCAGTCTGCTTCGGCCAACACTTTCTCCCACCACGGCATGGTAAGGAAACGGCCCGCGTGTCCCTTTTTCGGTTTCCTGAACCAGCCTTCCCAATTAAAATCAATTTTTTTTTTAATATGAGCCGAGGTGGCGCAGTGGTTAAATGCAGCACTGCAGGCTACTTCATCTGACTGCAGTTCTGCAGTTCAGCGGTTCAAATCTCACCGGCTCAGGGTTGACTCAGCCTTCCATCCTTCCGAGGTGGGTGAAATGAGGACCCGG